GCTGGTGACCATCATAGTTTACGAGCGGCACAAGGCAGCAAAGGAGAAGAAGGCCGCCGAGGATTTCCCCCTGCTGGCGGGTGGCGCCGGTAGTGGTCAGGTGAACGCTGGCGGAGACGCCAAGGCCTCACCCTCCCACAGGTGAGGAGACCACACTTGGACCACACAGTTCGGGTGCCGCCTGGGGGTTCTCTCGCTCTTCCTCTTTCTCACCCTCTCCCCCTCCCCCCACGCTGTCCTGGTTCACTACCAACCCTTTTGTTTTCGTTATACGTAAGTGTGATTTTAGTCGAGCGCGTCAACAGCTCGTGTTTGCAGTGAGCGACGCTAACTGCGCTTGCTGTACTAACGACGCGACGAGAGTGCTGGGTCTGCTGACCACGAATCTACGCGGAGTAACTGCTAACCTCTGCTCGCTCTTTCTCCCCTCTGTCTCGCAACTTTTTGCAGGTCGTTGTGTAACGCTCCTCACCCTAAAGAACAGCAGGAAGACAAGAACCAGTATCACCTACTCGGCTGTCATAAAGTCTTAGGTGAACCTGCGGGGAGTAAATCCTTCATCTGAACACACACACACTTTCAGGCGCGTCGCTCCAGAATAGTCGCGTAGTTGATGGCTTTAGTTACACCCAAAATAAATGCATATCAATTTCCAGATTGTGAGCCTGAAAACGCTTGTTCCGGGCGGATTTACTCCGGAGCCAAGTTCACCGAGGCAGCATGAAAAGTGTTGATGTACGTCCCGAAAACGCATGGGGGACGACGCTGGAGAATTCGCATTGAACCGAGCCGAACCTGTTTACAAGGTTTGTGGAGCACATGTGTTTGGGCTTTCAGCTACTACCCGTGTGCTGTCAATATGGCAGGACATGACGTATTCGTTGATGAACGTTCACCTGACTGCTAACGGAACCCATCTGTTTCCACAGAGGCCCTGACAGCCGCAACAGTTAGTAGTATGGGCAGATAGTATTGCCGGCAAAGACAAGGGAGACAACGTTAATCAACGAGTGTTAATATCCCCTGACCTAGACCGGCGAGACAACGAGCACTTGGCTCAATGGTTAGGGCGTTGGACTCTGATCAAAAAGGTCGAGGCTCAGGTGGGACACCACTTGAGACTGGGTCTGCGAGCAATACTATCTGCCAAATTACGTATTGCGGACTGCTTTTTGAAGTGTAAGAATTTATTTTTCAGGTGAAAAAAAACCCACATATCCTTGCTCCGTTCTGCCTTAGGGCAAAGCCGAATTTGCTTAGCAGTTAGAAGTCAAATATTCGTCTTCTAAGAGAGCTGTTCA